ACTTTGGTATTCAAAGTTATTTCTACTCCAAGAATTTTTAATTTTTAGAAAATCTAACAGAGCTTTTGTTTGATGTGGGCATTGATGGTTTAAACCTAAGTATTTAATAGTTCCAACAACGTACTGTGGCCGATACTAGGATCAACAGTCGGATTCCCTAAAGAAAGTCCATTTGCCATAGCATGCTTTTCTGGACGAATTTTTGAGAGAATTTTGTGTTGAAGCAAATAATTTGAAAATAAATGGCGTAAAAATTGGAAAAGCCAGCAGAGCAAGAAATTAAATATTCGCGTTTTTGCTTGTGACTCCCCTACCCGAGCTTTTGTTACAGGGGGAGTTTTTTCTTAAAAACGCTTTGTGAGCCCAGAGCAGACTTAATCTTTTCACTACGGGCCGATAAACCCCACCATAGTTTGGAGTTTGAAAATAAGAAAAGTTTACTAGAGCTTTCAGGTTTCGGTTTAGTTTCATAATTTTCTTTAGACGTAATGCACTTGGTTGATCTTGGGGTTATGAAAAAACTGCTTAAATTTTTTACCAAAATAGAAACTGTGACGGAAATGAATAAGAAAATGGACCTTCTAAACAAATGGGTGCCAAAAGAATTCGGGCGTGTACCTCGAAATTTCAACGAAATTTCCCATTGGAAGGCAACAGAGTTTAGACAGTTTCTTTTGTACACCGGAATATTTGTTCTTAGATACTGTATACCAAGCGGCAATTATTATCATTATCTTTTATTGCATGCAGGTATAAGATTACTGTCTAGTGAAAAAACTTGTAGAGATAATGCACAAATAATTTTACAAGAATTTATTTATGGCGATCACCTAGTTAGGTTCAATGTTCACGGTTTGCTTCATTTGACTGACTGCGTAAAGCAATATGGCCCGTTGGACAATTTCTCAGCATACAAATTTGAGAATTTTATGGAACAAAAACTGAAAACTTCCCCGGTAACAATTCTACATTTGAATTAAAAATCAATATTTGGAGCAAAGGAAGGAATAGATAAAGTCTCAGGGAATGAATTTCCCTGCGCCCGGGCTTGAACCTGGCACTTCAGGCATACCACGCGAGTGCTTTGCTCTGTCGGCCATTGCGACTGTTGGAGCGCCGCGAGCAGTAAGGCATACTAATGATTTTCATGGGGGATGAATTGGCAGACTATCTCATCAACTGGTATGATGCTACTAGTATTTCTACAAGTAGATGCTGATGCATAGCCTGACAATTGACATCTCGTAGGACATCTCAATGTTAAAAATACCAGTCGCTAACATTGAAAGAGGATAGAACGTGAACTAGTTGGGCTGAAACGCAAACTGGTAGAATTCTAGTTCACAACTAGTAGCTTTCCCTGCAGGGTTGTTTCACTTCGCATTTGAAATTAAGCTTTGAAATAAAGATAAATATGAAGATGCCGAAATAAATGATAACGATGAAGACAAGAAAGAGAAGGCAAAAGTGAAGACAAAGGCGAAAATGGAGGCAATCAGAAATGCATAAGAGTTAACTGAAAGGGTAAGCAAATGTATTTTAATTATGAAGTGAAACTTCTTTAGCGGCGATTCGTTGGTTGGGAGTAAATGGGCAATGATGCACACGGAAATAGTTGTCACGTAAACAAGTGCTTCTAATATATGTGCTACTAATTAACCAAAAACGTGCTAATAAGGGGTTTAAGAATAGGACTGATCATGGGCGTAGCCAGGTAGGGGCAGGGGGGCCCGGGCCCCCCCTAACAT